ATGTGGGTCACTGAGTCCGGGATGGTCATACTTGCCAACGAGCTGCATTCTGCAAAGGCTCTACACCCAATGTGGGTCACTGAGTGAGGAATGGTCACACTTGCCAACGAGCTGCAGCGTAGGAAGGCTTGAGGCTTAATCCGCGTCACTGAATCGGGGATGGTCACACTTGCCAACAAGTTGCAGCACATGAATGCGTTTTGAACAATAGTTGTTGCACCATTTGTGATTTGAACTACAAATAATGACTCTGAGTGGTGAAGGTCGAGGTTGTCGTCCTCGTCGTCGTCGTCCTCGTCGTCGTCGTCCTCGTCGTCGTCGTCCTCGTCGGGGTCGTCCTCGAAGTACTCTTCAAGATGGGCACGAATAAATACGGAATCGAAGCCCAACTCATGCACAAACCGGGCAAACTCCCCTTTGTAGGAGCATGTCACAATGTTTTGTCTCAAAATGATGGTTGCTTCTGATTCTGAAGACAGGCCTGCGTCAGCAGCTGTCTCGTTGTCCGTCAGCAATCTGCTCGGCCCCACAAGAATGTCAACCCGGGTTGTTTTGCGCGTGAGTTCATCGTCCCAAAGCTGGCGGTCCTTGATCCGCTGCTTGAGTTCCCGGCCAGTCATTTCTGGCATGACTTCAAGAATCATTCCTTCGCCGTCCAGCTGTCGAAATGAAACCTCCATGGCCATGGCTCTTCTTTTTGGGGAGCTACTAGTAGCTTCTTGCTTCTAGTAGTACGGTGCCTTGTTACTTGTAGCTTCTTGCTACCAGCAGCGATGCCAGTTCGTAGCGTCGTTGGGCGGACTAGATCCACATGCTTAGCTGCTAAGCTGACTGCAGTTGGACACGTGTCTCAGGGAGAAAGCCAGAATTCCGGCCGTCGGCATCCGGCACGAAATCACCAGGGTTGAAACCAAACCTTCGAACCTTTCGCATCGCGTCCGTCCTCTGTCGTATCTGTTTCCCACGTCATGTCGTCAGTCGTCTGTTCGTTTTGGAGGCCTGGACACGTGTCTCATCGCTGTGACTCGTCGTCGGAGGACCGGTGAACTCTGTTTGGTGCCAAAAAGGTTCCCGTTTCGACGGTCTGCGTTTGTAAACCGCGGAGTGTGTCCGTCAACGCGAGTTTTTGAGAGCAGCGCGTGATAGCCCCGGTTTTGGGCGGCATGGACAAAGCAGGTACAAAGCACGTGTGAGTGATGGACCAAATCTCTGGCGACCAAGATTGGTCAAAGAGCCCGCCCCAGAACCTCCTTCCTTTCTGAACCAACCAGGGGGGGACGCCAACGCAAAGCATAGCTTTTGTGCTTTTGTCCAATCCTCATGTGGTGTCCAATCAATGACAACTGGTGGTGTTGACTCAACAAGCTATGGTCCAACGACTTCGGAGTGGCCATCCTTCCCATGTCGGTGGACGACATCGAGGACGACATCAACTTCCTTCTCCAAAGCGGAGAAATGCGCATTTGTTCGTCTCTACCCCCCACTTCAGAGCCAAGTAGCTCTACTCCTTGGCACATCTCCACATACTTCTTGGGCGCTGCACCCGCACCGGCGCTGCACGTGCCTCAGGTCGGAGGAGGTTGTGACCGGCCGGAAGCGAACGGACGAGTGATGGAAGCATCAAGATGACATGCTTTTTGATGTGTCAACATCAATCAGATAAAGGATCATGGAAGGATCTTTGGAGAAACGATTGGTTGTTCCGAAGGCTTCGATTTTGACATGTTCCACTTCCTAGCAACTTTGGTTTGGCCAATGGAGTACTGAGGGAAGAACGGAATCGCACCCGGAGTAAAGATGCATAACCAGAGAAGGCTGTCTGAATCTACCGTCAACGGTGAAGCTCGAAGCCGTATCATATTAGCCGACACATAATATGCTCAAAAGATAGTCGAACAAAAAATGACCAACCATAATGACCTCAATGACCTCACACCAATCTCGGCCCAACTCTGATAGTCCAAAAGAACCTCGCTCGCCAAAAAGTTGACCCACCACTGTCACTGGAAGATTCTTGGCAACACAAGGTGGTCACGGGGTGCAAACAGAAGAACTCTCACCCAATTCCAGGCCATTGGTCTTGGAAGCTATGGTCAGACCCGAACGGAGTCATCCCAGATTTGCTGCCAAAAATACGAGTTCCGTGCGAATCGTTCATCTTGTCACGTGGGAATCGTTCGCCGTCAAGTCGCCGAAGAATGGCCAAGTGGCTCATGAAGAGTTTGGTGAGTTCCTTCCCTTGGATCTTCTTCTTTTTCGCCCACCTCCAGTCTCGGAGCGCAGTCGCTCCGGTCAGCGGTGCGGCTGCGGGGGGGAGGGGGTCGGTGGTGTCCAAGGAGGAAGGAGGTGTCCAATGGCCGGGGTGATGGCACGATGAAAATCAGGGCGTGGGCTTGATAGGGCGTAGGGGGATGGATGTTGGATTGTTGCCAGAAGCTCTTTGCAGTTCGGGTCACGGAACACCACTGCGGTGGTTTTCCTGGTTCAGTTCCAAGAACCCTTACGCGGTGAGGCCAACTGCCCACTATTTGGTTGTACCATGTCCAGGTGATGGTGAAAAAGGGAGCAAAACCTAAAGACTCGAAAAAGAACTTCCTTTCACTTCACTTCTTGTGCAATGCATTATATGATGGTCGACTGGACTTTTTGGACGACGGGTCAAGTCCGTTCAGAACGCTGCAAACTGCCCGAACGGCTAGCCTCTTCCACTCCCCCCCCCAAAACCATGGGATCCACTCTCAAAAAGAAGAAGGGATCACCTTTTCTCGCCCCTTCGCCATCACCCCTTCTTCTCACGCACACCAACGGTCGATGTCGTCTGACGTGACGTGACGCACGTCGCACCGGGCAAACTCCAGGCATTGGGCCAACGGATCGGGCCGGTTGCCTCGGTGGAACTCGTGCGTCGTGAACTCGACGGAGGGCCGAAGGTGAAGCGGTGTCGAACGACGAGGGCGGTTTCCCGGGGTGTTTCGGGGGCCCGAGGACCCAACTTGGGTGGGGTCTGGAGCAAATCCGACCGTGGGGTCTGGAGTTGCCAAACATCTTCAGGTCTGGAAGGAGCGACCGAAGGAGGAAGAATGCGCACTATTTGAATCGAAATCCCCAAAGAGGCTCCAAGAAACACATGGAAGTGGATGCAAACGGTGTTCATCTGAGGAAAGAGGGAGGTTTGTTGCTTTTCGCCTGCTGGTGAGTGTCCCTGGGCAAGCCTCATGGCAAATTGGTCCAAGCTGGGTGCCCCCAAACCCGGAACTCAATGGGTGCATGAGTTCTTCTTAACAATGTCTTCAACTCCTTCCCCCAACGACCCGCACGGCCTTCCTCCACCAACAGCCCTTCTCCACTCCTTCTGCCGGTCCCTCAGTCCACCCCACCTGCGCTGACGCGCAGCAAGGCCGGCAGCGCCCGAGCCGCAGCCGGCACCGTGCGGACCCTCCGCGGGGCGGGCGGCGGCGCTGCGGCCGCGGCCTGGCTAAGGCGGCGGCCGATCGTCCAACGCGGTAACCCGTCTAGCAAAGTCTCCTATGTCTCCTGCTTTGATCCAGGTAAGCCCATCGAGGCTGAGGTCTCCAAAGTGTGATGACTCGAGGATATGACTGGTGTTCTCCGATTTCGGAAGGTTCAAACCTCCAGTAGGTGCCCCAATACCCCAAAAAGTTGATCCACGAACTTCCTGGGTAGGGATGTCAACCAATCCCATAAGCCAACGGACAACACCCGACACGGCGCAGCAGAGAAAGATATATCCTATGCACCCATGTCCCGATATGTGAAGTCGCCTTCTATACTACTAGGAACAAGAAGCTTCGCATGGTGGAGGCCATCGTTAGTAGCTTGGAGGCCATCGCTATTTAGTAAGAAGGAGCTACTAATACACTTATCATTATCTTACTTTTTCGCCAGCCACCAAGCTCGCCAACTGCCTTTTGCCGAGCGGAGCGCTTGGGCGGCTTTTCCGGGGTGGATAGAGGATGCCTCGGCGAGGCCCTGGAGAGTGACCGCAACCATGGCGGCGATGTGAAGATTGCCACCGTCGAGGGCACACCCAGCCATCCTGAAACCACATGTACTCGCATTTTCGACATTCACATTCTTTGGCGAGAATCCGTTGGCAGCCACTGAAAGCCTCTTCCCCCAACCTGATCCGGGTGATGGGCAAGACCAGGGTCAAAGCACTGCATTCTTCAAAGGCTCCATCCCCAATCTGGGTCACTGAGTCCGGGATGATCACACTTGCCAACGAGCTGCAATCAGCAAAAGCTCTACTCCCAATGTGGGTCACCGAGTTGGGGATGGTCACACTTGCCAACGACCTGCAGCGTAGGAAGGCTTCACTCTCAATCCAGGTCGCGGAGTCCGGGATGGTCACACTTGCCAACGAGCTGCATTCTGCAAAGGCTCTTTCCCCAATCTCGGTCACTGAATCGAGGATGGTCACACTTGCCAACGAGCTGCATTCTGCAAAGGCTCTACTCCCAATGTGGGTCACTGAGTTGGGGATGATCACACTAGCCAACGAGCTGCATTCCGCAAAGGCTCTTACCCCAATCTTGGTCACTGAGTCCGGAATGGTCACACTAGCCAAGGAGGTGCACGATGCGAAGGCTGCAGCCCCAATCTGGGTCACTGAGTTGGGGATGATCACGCTAGCCAACGAGCTGCATTCTGCAAAGGCTCTACTCCAAATGTGGGTCACTGAGTTAGGGATGATCACACTAGCCAAGGAGGTGCACGATGCGAAGGCTGCAGCCCCAATCTGGGTCACTGAGTTGGGGATGATCACACTAGCCAAGGAGGTGCACGATGCGAAGGCTGCGTCCCCAATCTCTGTCACCGAGTTGGGGACGGTCACACTTGCCAACAACCTGCAGCGTAGGAAGGCTTGAGGCTTAATCCGCGTCACTGAGTCCGGGATGGTCACACTTGCCAACGACCTGCATCCTGCAAAGGCACTCATGCCAATCTGGGTCACTGAGTCGGGGATGGTCATACTAGCCAACGAACTGCATCGTGCAAAGGCAACACTACCAATCTCGGTCACTGAGTCGGGGATGGTCACACTTGCCAACGAGCTGCATCCTGCAAAGGCTGCGTTCCCAATCTGGGTCACTGAATCGGGGATGGTCACACTTGCCAACAAGTTGCAGCACATGAATGCGTTTTGAACAATAGTTGTTGCATGTTGTTGCACCATTTGTGATTTGAACTACAAATAATGACTCCGAGTGGTGAAGGTCGAGGTCGTCGTCCTCGTCGTCGTCGTCGTCGACGAAGTCGTACAAGTCGTACAAGACGTGAGCGTCATCGTCGTTGTCATCATCGTCATCATTGTCCTCATACACAAACCGGGCAAACTCCCCTTTGTAGGAGCATGTCACAATGTTTTGTCTCAAAATGATGGTTGCTTCTGATTCTGAAGACAGGCCTGCGTCAGCAGCTGTATCATTGTCTGTCAGCAATCTGCTCGGCCCCACAAGGATGTCAACCCGGGTTGTTTTGCGTGTGAGGTCATCGTCCCAAAGCTGGCGGTCCTTGATCCGCTGCTTGAGTTCCGGCCAGTCATTTCTGGCATGACTTCAAGAATCATTCCTTCGCCGTCCAGCTGTCGAAATGAAACCTCCATGGCCATGGCTCTTCTTTTTTGGGAGCTACTAGTAGCTTCTTGCTTCTAGTAGTGCGGTGCCTGGTTACTTGTAGCTTCTTGCTACTAGTAGGGATGCCAGGAGTTTCTAGTAGCATCACGTCTGTCGGCTGACGTTTTTCAATCAGTCAATGTTCAGATTGGACACTTGTCTCATCGCTGTGACTCATCGGCATCGAAGGACCGGTGAACTCTCGTCGTCAAAAGACAGTTCTTTGGTGCACCGGTCCAGTGCAGGGCGGAGGGTGATCTTCTCATCTTTCGGTCAAGATCGAAATGGGAGTCAGGACAGAGTGCAATCACTTTGAAGCAATCTTGATTGATTGCAAAACATACACAAACTTTGAATGTAAGTGATGCTAGTGATGCTGTTGTTCATTTAAAGCTGCACTAGCATCGTCTGCATATTCTCATTTGTTATTAATTATTGATCAAGCGGATCCACCGCTTCACTCACACCAAGCCCAACTTTACTCACCTGAACAGCACAGTGTGTTTCTTTTCTTCAGCATCCTGCACCCCATTCTACAAATCCACACCCGAAGAAAAAGAACGAAAAAGCTGTCTCGCCTTTGAAAGGTAACCTGTAGCTTCCCAAAGAAGAGTCACCAAAGTAGAAAAACCTGGTGAAAACCCATCCAGTTGCTTTGTTGCATGGCACCGCCATGTCCAGAGCATCCCATGCCTCGTTGCTCTCCGCCTCCTCCGGTGCTTCCGGATCCAACTTCAGGCCAATCAGCGCGGACAGAACTGCGCACCACACCGCAGCTCCGGTCGGTGGTCGGTTTTTCTACACCCGTCGTGGGGGGTCGTGAGATCGATATCGCTATATGTATCTGTGGCGAAGATCCGTGGGTGTGAACCTGGCGAGATCTACCGATCGAGGTCGTCGATTTGGTGCCCTTTTTCAGCAGCTTCACCGGTCGAGAAAGACTAGTCGCAACGTGGAATTGACCAGTATTTCAACATGGTTGCGTCTGGACCAGGGCGGCGACCAGGGTGGCACTGTTAAGATCCACTTGCAAGTTTCTAGATGTCTACATGCCTGACCCTCTCAGTTTGGAAAATCCAGGTTACGGCGACGGTGAAGTGTTCTTCACCTGTTCCTTTTGAAGGGAATATCCCCAATTCCCCCCTCCAAAAGGCTTTTGCGGGCGGATCCCATGAATCTGAGGGCGGTCCCATCAGGGCGGTCGGAACTGAGCAGTGTCGGGTTTCCGCTGGACTTGAGGGCTCGTCCTGCCACCTTCACACTGAAACAGGACATGGTGGAGACCTCCAGGTCGTCCGAGACTCCTTCGCCCGACCTGCTTGGGCAGCTGAAGGCTTCGCTGTGCTCGGCGCACTCACCTCGTCGTATTCCGCCACCGGCGCCATGCTCGGCACCGCGGGAGCTGCAGGCGCCGTTGGCGCGCCGGGCGACACTGCCCGGAGCGGCCTGGTGATGGCGAGTCCGGGTAGGTAGGGAAGCGGTGCCAAGTGACAGCAAAACCTCTTCCGCAAGATTCGCACACATGAAGATTCCCCCACGGCAAATCAATGAACCAATTGAACATTAATTGTAAAAGCCTTAATCAGGAGCCTACCTACTGGAGATGGTTTGATTGGTCAGGTCAGAGGTTTCTGGACAGACCTTGGTCTGTCGTGTCTCTTTGGAGTCCTCGGACGATTCTTGGAATGCCACCTGGCCACAGGTCACAGGTCACGCAGGGTAAGAGCAAGGGCTCCTTTCTTTTCTGAGTGGAAAGATCACGTATAGCTATAGGGAGAACAGAATATCTATTGCTGGTGAATTTTTCACCCAAAAAAGCACTCTATATCTGTGTGCTGAGCCATGCCCTTCCCATGCGATTTCTCTTCCACCCCTCTCCCAAGGCCCCGCCCCGCCCGGAAGCGGCGCTCCGCCTCACCACCGGCGAATGTGGCACCGGAACGGCAGGAGCCTGGGTGCGGGCGTTTAAAGGATCCCAGGTGAAGCAAACACGAAAGGAAGGACAAAACCCCTTCCTCACAACCTTTCTTGCGCTTGAGCTCCTTCTTCCAAATGGGCCAACGCGAGTTCCCTCCATGTCCCTCCATGTCCACCCCGAGCTGGGCCCCTTCGCCGCCTTCAAGGGCAGCGCTTCGTCCCCGCTGGAACTCACCAGAGCCTCACGGGGGTCACAGCACCCGCGGTGCGGACGGTGCGCAGAACGGTGCGCTGAACGGTGCGCAGAACGGTACGAGTGGAGGAACTGCATCGAAATTGAACGTCCCACCCGGGAGGGGGAAGGAACTTCGTACGATGGCAGGATGGATGGATTGGGGCAAACGGCCTCGAGTTACCGGTTCTTTGGGTGAGTTACTGCCGCAGTGTGCCGCAGTGTCCCTTCCCAAGTTCACACGGTCTGTGCCACAAGCTTTCTGTGACGTCATGTGACGTCATGCGGTGCATGACCTGGCAGCCCACAAACTTTATGGACACATCCATCCTTTAGAACATCATCGTCTTTCAAAACCAAATCCTGTGTTTTCTTTCCATAACCTCAGAGCCGAACACTGTTGTTGAACAATATTCAACCCACGAAAAGAAGATCCCCCTGCTTCGGGGCAGCGACGCGTTCACAAGCATTCCATCCCCATGAACTTTCGCTGCGGGTCTCACGAACCATCCCAGTCCTCCCTCCCGTTCACCTGACTCCGAAACCGCTTTTTGGCCGCCTGGACATCTTCCGGCAATGCGGACCCACCAAAGCTGGGCCACCAGTTCGCCTCCCACACGCATCTCAATCCGCTCTCGACAGCTGGAGACCACGTCCGGGACGGCAACGAGACGGACCCACCGTCTAAGACGGGCCGGTGCCTTCTTCGAGCCCAACTGGGCTCCGTCCACCAGGGCCAGCAGGGCCAACGCCTGAGCCGGAAAACCAGAGCCGTGAGCGAACGGATGCGCCGCAATCCGTACCGCAGTGGCCGCTTTGCCGGGATTCATTAGATGTCCCGTGTGCTTCGGAATTGCATGTGAACGGCGCAGACAGGACATGTCGAGCTTTGTGGTTTCATGATTTGGGCACTTTGAAAGAGCTGTTTGCATCAACAGCTTTTCAGGCCAAACACCTGCTTCCCTCCCGCGCGTGTTCCCTCCGGCGCCAACACGGTCCCAACGCCACCTGCCAACAGAACGTCATGGGAGCTACATTGACCGGTGCTGTTCGGTCGCGAGCCAAGAATGCGGGCGGAGGCAGTATGGCGGCAGTATGTGGTTGACAAAACCCTTATACCTGTCTGAACTGCTTGGGTTTCGAGGCGGATCGAGCTCCCTTCGCTTCTGGGGTTTCGACCACCCGTTCAACGAAGGGTCCGTTGCCAACCGAAAACAGAGGCGGAAAGGTGAAGCGAAAACGGGCGGAACCGGTGTGCTTCTCGTCTTCGACTCCACACGACGAGCCGGGCGGTCACCTGGTCACACCTGACAAGCCCATTGAAAATCCCCTGGGAGTCAAAGTCTATAAAAAGAATGGTCTTTAGGTGACCCGAAAAGGAATGTCCTTTACTTCAGTCCGTCAAAATATAGTCCTTGGACTTCTAGGGTATGCAAAGCTCATAGGTGTGGATTCAAGATCACAAACCTCACATTCGCTTGCGTCGTGCTTGGCTCACATCAATTCCAAAAACCACTGCAGGTCATGTCTCTCGGCGAGGGAGCAGGGTCTGAAAAAGTGGCCGGAATCGAGGGTCTTGGTGTTTCACCCAAGGTGAATCAATCAGATTGCACCAACAGTCGGTTCATAGAATTTGCTGGTTTGTATGTGACCTCCACGAACCGAACGTCCTTGTGGAACCCTAGGAAAGGAGTGGAAATGACAAAACAAAAGAATGTAGCCTTGCCCCTCGTGTTGGCCGCTGATCATCTTGGAATACTTCCTGAAACTCTCACCTATACTGTTGGTGCTTTGGTGTTTAGCTTTGACAAACAGCCACTGGTCAATGGTTGACCTGTTGAACAGCCACGGCCAAATAAATACAAATGAATACGCCTGCCAACCCCGCCGAAAGAACAAAATGTGCTCTTTCATCTTCTGGGTTGGCTCCGATCCTGTTTGGAGCCATCTGCATACCTCCACTCCATCCCAGATCCCTCAGTTGCAGCCATACCCGCGCTGTGAATTTCCGTCCGTCTTATGTCAAGTCACACCACACCACCCCCGCAGACTTCGCTCCAACCAACCACGTCCAGGCCGTCCATTTCGGCCCATTCGGACCCTATCAACTGTACTTCACTCAGGATCCTAAAAGGACCCTCCATAGCAGGGAGGAGAACCCTCCAAAAAACAGGGGTTTCAACCCTCCACACCTTTAGGGTCCGAACACCTCCCGCCGCCCCACGTCGTACCCGGGTGGCGAAGAGCCCGCCCGCCAGAAGGGTGGCCATGGCGCGAACGACTGCGGTGGAGAGCGAAACGAGTGGTTGAGGGAAAGTCTTCACATCTCATTTGGGGTATATATATCATATATGTATATACATACATGGTTTTCTATTTACAAGACTTGTGGGAAGGTTCGTTTTGAAGAGTCTAGAGCATTTTCATCAGAGCTTAGAAGTGTCAGTCAGCTGCTAGAATCTTGAAGTGTCTCGGCCACTAGTGATCTCGGTCATGCGAACAGAAATATTGGCATATGAAAGAGGTCCTTTCAGTGCATTGTTGTGAAACAACTCATTTTCGTGGCCTCTTCAGGCTAGTAGAGCACGGTGGACTGTGGACTGCACACATGTCCAAAGCAAAGCTGTCTATAGCAAAGCTACCAATGCTCTTTCCTTGCAAAACATTCTGATTCGACCTCTTCAGCCTTGGCATCCACCTACCATGCTTCATAACTTGAGGACAGTCAGCACAGACAGGCAGCCTGGTTGGTCAGTCGAACTCTTGGCAGGGTTAGAATCATGGTATTGGTATTGGCCATGTTTTTTCGTTGGATGACTGGATGGTTGCGACTCCTTGATGGACTGTGTAGCACCCCCTTGTGACTGGGGATGCCGTGACTGGGATCACCGAGGACAGTGGCCGCCTCGACGCATCCGGACAGCCACTGAAAGCGAACACTGAAATGGAAAATGGATTGGGATGTGTCCGTTTTTCATGTGGACATTTGACCTCTCCACTGGGCGTTCTCGAATTGCCCATTTGGCGTTCTCGGTCCCAAGGAGGTTCCAAACCACCAGCTTGATGTCCTTTTCAGGTTGAATGCTTCGGGCATAATTCATACTCTACTGACTTGAGGATAACTGTAGCTATCTTTATACTGTGTATATTTACATGCATACAATATGATGTGTTTAACTGTTTTACCTACCATTTTTCGTGTACTTTTTTCTTGGTCATTATTATTGCTAGCAGCACCAACCGATGCATCTAAGCATCGTTTTTGCTTTCTAAGGACAGTCGTGTTCCGAGAGTGCTTTCCAGGGTCTTCACAGTCCGCCTGCAACTCCGGATCCTTTTTCTCCAACTCCCCTGGTTTTAGAGGCTGCCAAAGCATGTGAAGCAATCAACACAAGCAGCGATACCCTCATCTTCCAATCAACCAAGTCGCAGCCGCAAAGCTTCTGTGAAACTTGCAAAATATGGAGAACAAAAAACAAACAAACCTGCTTGATGTGCATATCTCCAGCGAAACCTCTTATAGAACCTCTGTTGCTACGGCCCATCTGGGAGATAGAGATAGTCAGATAGTCACTTCTACACGGTCTACTTCTGTACAAATACCCTGCATCCCAAAAGAAAAAGGACCAACAAACAAAGCCGAAAATCATGGCCGAACCGGCACTTCCAATACGCCGTCACCGGGCGTTTCCAACCTCAAGCGCTTTCCTGGTGCGTGCGCCTCATGTCTCATCTCCTGAGCAGGAGGGCCGGGCCCCTCCAACATGAGTCGTCATACCATGTCGTTACCCTAGTCATGGCTGAAATCTCTACCAGCCTCAGTGTCATCCACTACGTCACTACTTCAAGGTAGAGATGGCGGCATTGCTGCCAGGACCTTGCTGGCATTCCTTTCACCTGCTCGGTTTCAATTGGAAGATTCCGGATCATTCGCATCACCGCACGAATCGAAGGCAAACCGCCGACCACGCCCGTGCCCCTTGGCACGGGCGCTTCCTTCGTTCCTTCCGAATGGCTCGGTCTTCGTTCCTGCGTGAGGTCAAAAGTGGGGCCAATGTGCCCATCGGGTGTGCCAGTGGTTTTGACCTTTTTCCAACCAACAATGTCAAAGACCAGAAGTCAAGTAGGGTATATGCCATTGCATCATGTCAGGTCAGAAGGACCTCTCCTGTTGGATGAAATCCTGTTCGAGAAAAACCGTTTGCACTCTTCAAACACTCTCTATGTATCTTAGAACTGCCCATTCTGCTTTTATCACCAGATGAGGAAGAACTGTCTGGTGCCCAACCACAAGAATGTAAATTCTTGTGGGCCTGGGTGAAGTGATATGTATGATCTCTCCCCCTGCTGCTAAGATCTGCTAAGGGAAAGATTGGTCTAAGCAACTGTGGATTGTCCGTGCCACATGAAGGTCCAGAGAGTCATAGGACTATCCGAACGGATTCCTCAACAGAAGCGTTTGCTTTGGATGGTGTCCCATTTGTTTGCTCCAAATCTGGCAGAGATGGGTCAAGGAAAAACTGATTCTCCCTCTCAATCTCCCAAGAATTCTTCGCAATTTGGTGGTTTACCACATTGATAAGATACATTGTGGTTTGGCGTTGTCCCTAGATTTCGAAGGATGACAGCAACATCATCTCTGCAGGCCAGACCCTTCTTGGGCCAGACCCAGACCCTTGTTCTGCGCCGGCACGCCGGCACAGCCTGGTCAAACCACCGGCACAGCCTGCTCCAAACAACGACTCCAGGGTGATGGCTCACGTGTGCACACGTGGCAGGGGAAGAAAGAGAGTCGTTGCAAGGTCCGACACGCTGGGTCTGGGCTCTGCTCATTCATCTTCAATTCCCTGGCAAAGCATTCTTTTTTTCAACCACCGGAAGATGGTGGTCCGAAACCATTCTCTGAAACCATTCGCTAACATGTTCAACAACCATTCTTGTTCAACAGAAACGTTCTGAAAACCATCCGTTCTTCTCTCAACCCGTCGGATCCTCTCTGGGTCCGTGGGTGCCATGTCGATGGTGGTGCAACAATCGCCGGATGCCGCGCAGCAGGTATGACGTGACCACGGATCTCGCGCGGATCGCATGTCCAGTGGATACGATACATGAGGCTTTTTTGGATACGACGTGACCCGCGGATCCCATAACCAAAAAAAAGGAACGGCCGACGTCGGTACTCCGAGGTGGGACACCGGGATTTCTTAAGCCTCACTGACCGAGGAGCCTTGTTTTAGCTGCATCAATGGCGATGTCACGGGATTTCACGGGCACCATCGATGGCGTGTTTTCCCTTAGGACTCTCCGTCGTACATGAGGCCCAATTAGCTATCAAAAGCAGCATGTGGACAGCTTGCACTCGGGCGAACCCATGAGACTTTCCCAAGTCCGAAACAAGGGGTGAACTCCACAGTCGTGTTTGAGGGAGGGTAGTACGATGCTTCTTTATTCGGTCACGAGCCAGACGCAGATTCTGTCTTTTTCGTGTTTGAGGGAGTGACCCAGCGCATCAGCTGAAAGCAAAGCAGCGAAGATGGCAAAGCAGCGCATCCTTCTGGGGCACTCACTTTGGCGACTGAGCTGTCCCGAGCTGTTCGGAACATAGGAAGATGAATGAATATGAATGAATCAAGTTTCAGCGAGGCAGACGACATCGTGGGTGTCTTGTTTTTCAGGGTCGTCCAGTGAGTCTTGACGCATTTTACCCCTATCGGGTAGTGGTAAATGATGACTACCAGGTGGGGTCGTTTCATGAGTCAAGTTCCGGAAGTTCAGGGGGGGACACCCCGGCACTCAGCGTGACCAGTGTGAACTTGTGACCGGGCCCATGCTTGAGTTGTGGGTCGTTCGTACGCACGGCGACCTTTCGCCTCGATCTGGACCTGCGAAAGGTGAAATCTCAAGCCACCTGAACCAGATGATGAGTGATTTGTAGGGATGTCTTCATTCCAGCTTAAAAGCTAAATAGGACAAGTACTCAAAAGACAATACAAAAGGTGAACCACCGAATATGCCCTGAACAGAGTGTCCTGCCCTGAACAGACGGTCCAACCCAGAGGTGCAGAGAGAACAGCAGTCTTCTGGTTGTCCGCAAACTGTACCCTGACCTCATTTGGGAATAACATAGCTGGTACACGAATACAGTCATCTCGCTTAAATACCCCAAGACTGTTGAAGCCAAACCTGCGTTGAGAGTGTTTTTCCTTGTTGTCCATCACACAACACCCCAGTGCCCCAGATACCTTCATCCTCCAGATGAGGCGTCTGAGACAGGGGCGTCACCGATCTTCGCCGCAAAACTGGCGCCCGCGCCGGGCGTTTTAAAAGTTCTGCCAGTCGAAAAACTCGGCGGTGGCAGAGGTGTTTGATGCCGTCGGAGGTATTTGGTGGCACAAAAGGAAAGCAACGAAGCAACGGTGATGTTCGACATGGTGGTTCACCGGTAGTGGCAGGCTTTGGGGGTTGGTGATGTATCCGTTTCCAAATCGAAATCACCAGGTTTCAACAATTCAGTGTCAACCAGAGACCCAGTGGCGTTGGGGGGGCAGTGTCTAAACACGCCAGTTCATGCGAATGGATCAAGCTTCTTATCATTGCGGTTTACCTCTGCAGGAAGAGTTTTCGTTCCAAAATTACTACTAGCAACACTGCTGCTGAGAAATTAGCCATCCCTTGGGGCATCCCTGGGCAGTTCGGATGGATGAGCATGGGTTTTGCCGGTCCTCCGACGGTCTCCAAAGGATAAGTTGGTGTACCACGTCTGCGCCCTGCCGTGGTCTTGGGTGCACCGAAGAGTCAGTCATGGCCATTCGGATGGAGCCGAGTCTCTCCCGGAACTGATGTATATATATATATTATATATATATATATATGTGTGTGTGTTTTTTTTTCCGACCCCCAAATAGAATCGAAACATAGGACCTCCACCGTGCCAAAAATGTCTTGGACACCGTGCCACGGTCATCTCTTGGGGGATCCCAATGACTCCTTCAGGATTTCTCTGGCAGTCAAAACATGTCAGCTCCAAATGACTCGAACAGCTTAACAGACTCTATACATCCGGGCACCCACAGGGTGCCGGACACGCTCGTGACAGGCCGGGACAAACCCTCTGCGCAACGGACTTGTGCTGTCGCTGTCATCGGAAGAATGAGATCGAGCTCTTAGAACAAGTCTTCCGAGTCCAAGACATGAAGCAGATTCCATTCATCTTAAAAGAACTATGAAGCACACTGGATGAAGGTTGAAGGGGGATGTCGTGCTTTTCTCCGTTCTTCTTTCAATGTCGCAGCTTGGAGGGCAGCTCCCAGACATCATCTTTGTACATGGCATCCCCAGACCTCAAGAGAAGTCACTTTATGCCGTGATGTCCAAGAGCTTCCGCAAGGAGATGCACTGCCTGGCTTGCTCGGCGGACCAGACCAACACCGCGGTCACGAGGTCGTGGCGCCGGGCCGGTCGGTCGGTCGCGAAGAACGGTGATGAGACTCTTGGGGCGAAGAACGCTTGAGGTTGGGAGACCGGTGTTTTGGCTTGAGGTCTTCGGTGTATGCTGATGTATCTGATATCTCTCAGATTGGAGAATTGCTTGCTTACTCACTGTAATATGATTCATGCGGAGAAGAAAAACGCTCAAAACGGAAGACCATGTGATGGGTCATCATCTATCATGCCGGTTGATGAGAACCTACGGTGCTACAAGTACCTGTCCAACCTCATCTTGATCGACGGCTGATGAGAAGAGTTCTTCCGTATACAAAAGATTCACTTCCATGGGAAGGATCTCTCTACCAGGTTACATTCTACCTTCCGTTGAACCATCTGGTACGTGACATAGGATTCTTGGATCTCTTCCAGCAACAATAGCAAGGACCAGCGCTGCATCAATATGTTCAAGGAAGAGGGTGCACTGCGAGCCCACATAGAATTTCCCACAAGGTGGTATTCCATCATATCTACACAAACGAACATACCAGATGTATATCCGAGCATCCATGAAAATGAGCCTGTAGTCTTTAGTGCAGATTCAATGCCTTCTTCTACCCTAGCTGTAGCTCAGTAAAAATTGTTATTATGCTCGTTTCGTCTGCGCCGTGCGCGGCGTTCTCGTCCGTTCTCCCAGCTCCCCGCAGCTCCCCTCACCATCCTCTCCCGTCGGCCAAGGTCGTCACAGTGCTGGGTCGGAACCAAAGCCCGTCCAGCGCTGCTTCCGAGGGCCCACGATCCTCGACGAAGACGACGGCGGCGTTGGAACGGGGCGGGGCGAGTCGAAGGTGGGTGGAAGACGACGGTTTTCGGCTTTGGTGGCTGGAGGTGGGACAGGGTGTATGCAAAAAAATGTTTGTTTTTTATCAACGATCCAGAGGTTGCCCGTAATATCTTCGAGTTACGGAGTTGTGCACGCACCTTTCCATGGATCTCCCACCTTGAGTTTGCGACATCAAATGGGTCGGTTCGACTTTCGCCGAGAAGGGTCTTCCAGCTTCGGGTCCACCGACTTCTCGGTGTCACCGTGTGTCATCATGTGATCCGAAACCTGCGAGTGACCCGGCGGCGGGCCCCTGTGCCCCATTTTTCCGGGAAAAAAGGCCCATGGATCAAGTCCTGAAGCGAACAAAAATGGTCCGAGTTGACGCAAGGTAGTTGACCTCCAAGAGAGAAAGTGGGTTGACCTTGCAAGGTGAAATCCTGAAGCGTGGGAGCTTCACTTGAGTTGACCTTGCTAGGCGAACCAAAATGGTCCGTCCTTCATTGGGGCCCAATGAGGCCATCCACGAAAAGCTCCCTCTCGTGCCATCCAGATCCAAAAATCCAAAAATCCGAACATCGACCCGGAAAACTGGGACCTGGAGACCCACCTTGGCAACTTCGTCTCTTGGTTCCGCAAGGAGTCCAAGTCAGGGGTCTTCTGCACCCAGTATCTACATTGAGATGGACTGGAAGGTTGACCCAAACAAAAGAAAGAAATCAATAAAGAAAGAAAAATAGATAGAAACTATCCAGGATGTATATATATATATATGCATAAATGAATCTATGTGGCATACAAAAACAGGCGATCGGTTTGAAGGACCGTCCAGTGACTTCGTGGCAATCGGATACATCCCAACGATGAACGTCGATCCAGTCCACTTGTTTCCTGCTCGTTGACTGAGCGATTCGTCGCTGACTTTCTGCGCGGGAGTGCTCAAATCTCGGAAATGCGTCAAATACTGGCTGCCATCAAACTCCTGGCTGCCTTCATTCAAAATCCGAAAGCCAAACTTGTTCAAGAAACACTGAGATGCTAGATTGTTGCGTCGAGTGTACGCTTTCACGGCAAAAACTGTCGGATAGCGCTCCAACACACGTAGCCCCAGCTCCATGCCTAAATCCTGGCGTTGGAACTTTGAAGCGACTGCTAGCTGCCGGATGACTGCACTGGAAGGGGCGCCTGCCCAGTGACAATCACCAAGATCCACAGTGAGAAGCCCTATGACTTCACCAGCTCTTGACGCCATCAGCCACTGATATCGGTCTGGGTTTTGAAGTCTCTTCTTCAACTCATTTGCAACGACATCATCCAAGAATCTCTGCTTTGACACTTGCAAACCAAGGTCTGCCTCATTCAGTGAATCATAGGCATCCAAGAAAGTTGCCACTAGCAATCTCTGCGCGGCTTCGTAGGAGTCATCTTCGTTCCATGAGAAGACAACGGTGTCCAGCTGTAAGCCGCACTTCCCACATTCTGACATACTTGCAGACTTTGAGTATGCTCTAAGCTTGGGATGCGGCATTGACCTTGGGCCACTTGAGGTTGGGCTGGCAGCTTGAAGTGGCCAAGGGCTGATCTCTGCTGAGAGCCCGATGTACTTGTCACCATAGCCTTCCTCTTTACGATTGCACTCTTGGAAACCCAACTTTGCCATAAAGCGCTGGCTTCCATCATTGATCCGCCGAGTCACAGCATACAACTTGTGAATTCCTTCTCCAGCACAGTGGCTCGCAATCGCCTTCACAAGACGCTTGCCAATTCCAAGGCCTTGTTTGGCTGCGATCTGCCTCACATAAAGGCTACCTTGTCCGGAAGCAGGTGTCATGTCCAGAATGGCGATTCCAAGAACCTTTTGACCAGCGTCATGTGCGATCAACCAGCTGTAGCGGACAGGATCCCTTGTCTGAAGCGCCTCTTCGTCGTCAATAGTTTGGCGAAGCCATGCCTCCTTTGTCATGCCGTTTAGGCCGAGGCATTCCTCAGAAAATCCTGCGTATGCAGCTTGGAAGGTCTTTACGAAAAGTTCTTTAGCCTGACTAAAGAGTTTTGATTCGTTCCACAGCATCCCAACTGTTGCCTCTGGATGCTTCATCCTGCAGCTCCATCGTGCCGTGCCCATTGGCAAGTTTGGGGTGTAGTGTAGACATCTTGAAAGCCGTGAGCAAGCAAGAACTCCATCAGCCCCACATTGGTGGTTTCAAACTCTACGTCCACGTGATCTGCCTTCAAATGTTGAAGAATCCCAGTCAGCAACCTTGTGGCAACACTGGTTCGTCTGGCATCTGGATTGCACCAAATCTCTTTAATGAGAAAAGGGAGGCCATCTTGTGTGTCTTCCACCACCACCTTCCCAACCTGATGATCATGGACCTGTGCCACTGCCTTGTGAATCATAGAACGGCCATTGTCTGACTGGTAGTTGCAGAAGCTGATTGTCGTAAGGAAGCCTGTGATGATGCCTGACTTGCTATAGAGTCGTTCCAAATAAAATCGAGAACCAACGCGCACTGCACCCACAAGATGCAAAAGATCCCTGGTGCTGTGGTGTGCATCTCCGTCTCTGGCACAACAAAGAGGCTTCCATCTGAGCATGAACTGCTTGGGGAAGTCATGCCCAGAGTGCATTCTCAGAAAAATTTGGGAGAATGTTGGCCAACTGTCCCTGGCTAGTGTGTCACCGTCCACTGCGCTTTGAAACTGCAGGCCGGGAATGTTGAAGTTCATGGCAAGTAAAGGCCACTTGCCACTAAAGCAACAATCAGAAACAACGGTACAGCTGTTTCCATGGCTGGGCAAGTAGCCCAACTGCAGCCAGGCGAACGCGATGTCGAGAAAAGTTACGTCATCATCACTCATTTGCCAATTTCCACTGCCTTTGCGACCATGGCCCAAATAGACCAAAATGTAATGCGATGAGAATGTTCCAAAGAGTGTCCATATCTTCTGTATCGCAGCTTCTCTGGTCAATCCTGAATCGCAGGCACTGTTCCGTGACACCTTGACACCTTTCCCTTCAAGGTAAGTGTTCCACTGGTTGAAGTCACTTACGACTCCTGTGAGGTCCAGTGTTTCCACCGGATCATCCAGGGCATCAGGCACATCCAAGGTTCCTTCATCTGCATCGTCGGAGCCGGGGTTTCCCAAGATCAGCCCTACTGGACAGCCAGCCATGCACTGCTGGATCGAAGATCCAAGAAAACTCGAATCATTTCGAACCCCTCTTGAGCCTCAAAATGCCAAATCATCCGACTTCTGCCCTTACATGACATCCCAACATGCCACGCATTCCAACACACCGAACGAGGCAACACGCCCTCGTCGCTTGTTGAGGCCGGCACAAGGGATTGGGGTAGCCCAGGCGACAGATTTCCGCCACCAGCCTTGGATCACTGCAGATCCGAGGATCCGAGATCCGTCCATCTGCAAGGTGCCGATCCATCCTATAGTGTGTGTCGGAATGCAAGGCCTGCACCACAAGAAACAAATTGATGAATTGACAGATGTTTTGGTATCTTGTTGCTCGGTTGATGTTCACATCAGAGTCAGCCGGAATCTCCCCTCCTGTCCAATGGCCATCAAGTGACTCCTCACCAATGGGCACTGGTACAACCCTAGCGCATTACCACTAGGAGAAACTAACATCACACTAGAGAAACAATGGGGCATTGCACAGTTTTTCCTTCCTTCCGGAGTTTGAAGCAATGGATTGTGAGCCAAATCCAGTGAAATGCTGGTCCACTCCTCATGTTATTTGCTCCGAGAGGCGTGGAGAGTGGCGCTTCAGCCGGCAGTTGAAGCTCCAAACACGTACTGAGCCTCAGCTTCCGCGCGTCGCGTCACAAAACATGTTAGTGGCTGGAATGGTCTTTCCCAATTCTGTTCACGTCGAACCAAAAATTCAGACACCATCATCTCAACACCAGGGTAAGCTTGCAAAGCAAAAAGCTCTTGGTCCTTCTGATGACCATGTGTGTGTATGTTCAATAGTGAGAACCCCCAGGCCCCCAAGCAATTTTGGTCTCCTTCGTTTATTCCAGAGGGTCTTGGGGAGGTCTCCTTATTTTAATACACACGCATATTATATAAATGTTTCGAGCAATCCATTGCTTGTCCGAACCTTTCTCCATCCGATCGAAAAAAACGGCGAAACTTGTCCAGCGGCAGGGAGAGCTGAAGGGAGAGCACGTTTGGACGATCTGGCCGTGCCGCGAAGCGCCAAGCGCCGCGCTGCGGAACCCAACCACCCATGGCCGGCCCTTGCCAGGTGGAAATCTCCCGAACATAGAGGAATCGGTTCATTGGACCAGGGGTCAACCAGGGTGCCACATCTTGACCCACAGCCATGTACCTTGGGTATAGCCTATTACCAGGGCCTCAGTGGATGATGATGATGATGATGATGATGATAAGGGCCATGAGTGTTCAGGCTCAGGTCATGCCCAATGGCCTGAGCTAGTGCGGACTCCCTCCGCCACATGGACAGGGAGATCCAGACGGCCCTGAACCTGGATCTCTTGGCGGGCAGGTCCTACACCCAACTTTTTCGAGATCTTCATCCTGGAGATCCCTTCCACGACCTGATCTGCACCTACCAGTTCAGGTCCTTCAACACAGCGGAGACCTTTGAGATTGCCTCTTGCTTCTGGCTCCTCCTCGGGTTCTTGACCTACCTGATCCGTTCTTCCTGCAGGGGATTACGGTCTCGGCGCTCAAGGCGGTCCTCCCACGGTCCTTGCATGCGCCTGGACACTCACCGGGGTCCCAAGTCCCCGGCCAAGGCACGGATCCTCCCTATTGCTGGAGGCCTTTCTTTGATCTTTATCGAGCACTATATGACCACGCTCAACCCAGATGCTGTGCCTTGGAGGCCCGAGGGTTCCGGACCTGCCACGAGGTTCGGGGGAGCCACCCAATTCCTGGCCCTACAACACCCTTTTACGGCGAAGCCTAGTGGCCTTGGACCTACCTCTGAACATCTGGAACATCAACACCCTCAGCACAGAAAGAAATCCTATATTCGTGCACTCAAACGAGCTCACTTACACGGGCACACTTGGTATCGTGGGCAACTCCTCACGGCCGCTATGATGGGCATTGAAGAAACTTCACAGCTCATGCCAAAAGAAACTTCGAGCTCCTCTTTGGCACCCAACATTCATCCTCCTGCCAAGGTTCGGAAAAATCGACTCACAGGCTTCTGCTGGAACATTTGCTCTCTCAGCAACTATAAATTCGACATCCTTCGTCAATGGATGCTCTCCCAACACCTGGACATCATGATTCTGCAGGACACTCGATGGGGCTTCAGTGGTGACTGGTCAGATAACAACTACGCCTACATCCACAGTGGCTCCACTGGGAAAACCGGTGGCACTATGACCATCATCAAGAAAGGATTCTGCAA